TAATTTTCTATTGCAAAAACTAATGGTTTGTTATGGCACAAATGCTTAGGTCATCCGAATGCCACAGTTCTTGCAAAAATTTTGTACTCTTTGAACTTCAAACATACAGTTGCAAGCACTTTTGATTTCTACACAGCTTGCCAATTTGGCAAACTTCACCAGTCTACTTTTCCTAGGTCCAATTCTAAAGCATCTAAACCTTTAGAACTAGTACACTCTGATTTGTGGGGACCATCACCTGTACCTTCACTTGAAGGTTTTAAATATTATATTCAATTTTTAGATGACTATAGCAGGTTCACTTGGATTTTCCCTTTAAAAGTTAAGTTTCAAACACAACTTCTGTTTAAACAATTTCACAAACTAGCTAAAAGATAGTTTAGTACAACTCTGAAATGTGTTCAAACTAACTGAGGAGGTGAATATAGAAGCTTAGTTTCTTATTTTCTTGATCATCGCACCTTTAGGCATCCGTGTACCTATACTCACCAAAAAAATGGCCGGGTGGAAAGAAAACATCGACAGATTGTAGAACAAGGCCTAACACTCCTTGCTCAAGCTACACTCCTTGCTCAAGCTAGTATGCCTCTAAAATATTGGTGGTTTACAATCCAAACTACTGTCTATCTTACAAATAGGCTGCCTACACCTGTTCTGTCTAATCTGTCACTTTTTCAAGTTTTATTTGATCAGCCTCCAGACTACTCAGGGATTAGAACCTTTGGTTATGCAGTTTATCCATTTATTAGACCTTATAACTCTCATAAGTTTGCATTTCATACCACTAAATGCACTTTTGTTGGGTATAACATGCATCACAAAGGGTACAAATGCATGGATTCCAATGGTAAAATTTACATCTATCAAAGTGTCATATTTGATGAATCTAATTTTCCTTTTGTCTCCTCTCCTATTCTCACATCCAAAGATAGTGTTTCTTTTTCTTCTCCACCCTGCAACAACCATTCCTTTCAACTGTTCTCATCTCCTTCACACTCTATACATACAAACAATGACACTTGTCTAGCTTTTTCATTACCTCATACAATTGGTTAGAACACTTCACCACCTGCTGGTTCTAACTCTCCTGTTTCCTCATCAAATGTTGAGCCTAAATTTCCTGCTTCATTACCAGTTCCTTTCACAGTGGATCAGCAAAACTCATCAGTAACTTTTTCTCCTTCATTAGACTTGGCAGACCAACCACTTGAGCCTTCTTCTTCCTCAAAATCTGATTCTAGCTCTAAGAAACCAGTAGGCTTAGTAGACCACTTAATTGAACCCTCTACTTCTTCGAAACCTGTCTCTAGTTCCCAGCCTCAAATTACACCCTACTGTTCAAAATCTCCTTAATCCATCCATCTCACTATCGATCTGCCCTCACTCCTCCAAAAATCAGGCTGATAGTCTGACCTTTTGTAACTCAGCCTCTAAACACTACCACTCAGCCTTTAACCACTGCCACTCAACCTTTAAACACTCACCCTATGATGCATGATATCTGAACCTTACAATTGAACTACCCTTTGCAACTCAACCTTTAAACACTGCCACTCAGCCTTTAACCACTACCACTCAGCCTTGAAACACTTACCCTATGATCACTAGATCAAAAGCTGAGCTTCATAGCTCTATATTAGTTTCTTCCACAGGTTCCCTTTCTCATCTTGACACAAGTGAACCAGTAAATGTAACTGAGGCACTCTCTCATCCAGGCTGGAAATCTGCTATACAAAGTGAGTTTACTACTATTCTTTCTAACAATACTTGGGAGTTGGTTCCAACTGAACCCATATGAATATTGATGGTTGCAAATGGGTGTTTAGAATTAAACACAATTCAGATGTTTCCATCCAAAGATTTAAAGTCGGTTGGTTGCTAAAGGATTTCAGCAAACCCTAGGTGTGGACTATCTTGAAACCTTTAGTCCTGTGATCAAATCATCTACTGTTAGAGTTATCCTTAGCATAGTTGTTACCTATGGGTGGGATATACAGCAAGTAGATGTTAATAATGCATTTTTTTAATGGAGAACTTAGTGAGCCGGTGTACATGACTCAGCCTCCAGATTTTATAGATGATAAGAACCCTCTTCATGTTTGTAAACTGATCAAGGCACTCTATGGTCTAAAACAAGCTCTAAGAGCCTTGTTTGAGAAGCTAAAAACTGCCTTTCTGAATTGGGGTTTTATCTCTTCGGTGGCTGATTCAAGTTTATTCATTTATAGACATCATGAGGCTCTTATGTATGTTATTGTATATGTAGATGATATCATATTGACAGGAAGTGGCACTAAGCTGGTCCACAACATAGTTCACAAGTTGAACATTGAATTTGCCTTGAAAACATTGGGTTCTCTCAAGTACTTTTTGGGCTTTGAGGTATGCAGAATTGATACAAGCATTCACATGAGCCAAGCAAAGTATGCAAGGGATCTACTAGTCAAAATAGGCATGATGGATGCAAAATCCTACCCTACTCCTATGGCTCTAGGTAATAAGCTAACTTTTGAAGATAGTGAGTTGTTTGATAAATCATCACTCTATAGAAGCACAATTGAGGCATTGCAATATCTAACCTTGTCAAGGCCTGACATTGCTTACTCTGTCAACAAACTTAGCCAATTTCTCAAGGCCCCTACTCAATTACACTGGCAGGCCTACAAAAGGCTTTTGAGATATCTCAAGGGCACTACAAATTTTGGAGTTCAATTTACTAAAGTGCACAGACTTCACCTTGAGTGATTCACCAATGCAGATTAGGCAGGCAGTCTACAGGACAGAAGGTCCACCAGTGGCTACTGTCTGTTTCTTAGCTCTAATCTACTACAATGGTGTTCTAAGAAACAAAAGGTAGTATCTCTCTCCTTCATAGAGGTAGAATATAGAGCACTTACACAAGGAGCCACTGAAATCGCATGGTTCAAGAGTTTGTTCTCTAAATTTGGTGTGCATCTTCCTGCAATCCTTATCATTTGGTGTGATAATCAGAGTGTTGGATCCCTTGCCTCAAATCCAGTATTTCACGCCCGAACCAAGCACATTGAATTGGATGCACATTATATAAGGGAACAAGTAGCAGCCAATAACCTGAAAGTACAATAAGTTCTTACTGAGCATCAAACTGCAAATATTTTTTCTAAATTTGTGTCAGCTGCACGCTTTGAGACCCTAAGAGCAAAGCTAACAATGGCTACTTCTCCCTTACAAGCTGATATTCGAAACATTTCTTCTATGACAGAATAACTCCTCATCGGATGACTGTTCAGACAATAACTTGGAAGCTGCTCCTGTAGACTTAAAGCAAAATTAAAACCTAGCCTGCTTGGTTGTTGTTCTTTACTTATGCTTGCTTACTTGGAAGCTGCTCCTGCAGCATCAAGTTCAGTTTTACTTGGAAGTTGATATTCTAGACATTTCTTCTATAACAGAATAACTCCTCTTCGGATGACTGTTCAGACAATAACTTGGAAGCTGCTCCTGCAGACTTAAAGCAGAATTAAAACCTAGCCTGCTTGGTTGCTGTTCTTTACTTATGCTTGTTTACTTGGAAGCTGCTCCTGCAACATCAAGTTCAGTTTTGCTTGGTTGGTTTTCTGCAAAATTAAAGTCTAGCCTGTTTGGTTGTTGTTCTTTACTTTTGAATGTCTTCTTAGAAGCTGCTCTTGCAGCATCAAGTTCAGTTTTGCTTGGTTGATTTCAGTTTTGCTTAGGTTTTCTGTGTTTTACTTGTGCTTACTAGGAAAGCTACTCCTGCAGCATCAAGTTCAGTTTGCTTGGTTGATTTCAGTTTTGCTCAGGTTATCTGTGCCTTACTTGAGCTTACTTGGAAGCTGCTCCTACAGAATTACTTGTGCTTACCTGGAAAGCTGCTCCTGCAGCATCAAGTTCAGTTTGCTTGGTTGATTTCAGTTTTGCTCAGGTTATCTGTGCCTTACTTGAGCTTACTTGGAAGCTGCTCCTACAGAATTACGTTCAGTTTTATTTGGTTGATTTAAAGAGCTGAGTTAAAAAGGTCAGTTGTTCTTGTTGATGAATATCTGCTGCACTATTTGGAGATTAGTTTGGACCTGCAGTTCAAAATTCAAGACTTCTTTTGGAGACCAGTCATTCTTGTGTTATGGTTACCAGTTGCTCTTGCACTATGGTTATCTGTTGAGCTATTCTTGTTTGAAGATCAGTTGGGACTCTCTAGCTTACTTGAGTTTGCTTTAGCTACGAATTGCTCAGTTCCATTTCAAGAGTGACAAGAGTCAGAAATCAGAGCTATCAAACTGAAGGATGTTGTTCATCATCCAAGTCTAGTTTACGGCAGGATATTAGCAAGAGTTGGTGTAGTCCAAAGTTGTCCTGTTTACAGAAGGGTGTTAGCAAACGTTAGTGTAGCTCAGAGTAGTCGCAGTTTAAGGGAGGATGTTAGTAAGAGTTAGCAAAAGTTAGTCAAGTTAGTTACTGTTAAAGTTCAGTTAGCTACCATACTGAACCGGAGTAAGTTAGCTGCAATAATGAGCACTATAAAAGTGCACTTACTGTACAAACAAAGATAGCAAATATACACGAATTTTTCAGACTTTTTCTCCTCTTTCCTCTCTATATTTTTCTCTGTTTCTTCTCGAAAACTTTCACAAAGAAATTGGCTGGTAAAACCCCTGGCAAGGTACTTGGGGATACTTTATATAGCTAGTAGTGATACAAAACAAACTCCTAAGAATCAACTGTAAATTCAAGCGAGAATTTAAGAGAAATAGAACTGACATGAAACATACAGACATCACACAAACGTGACTCTAAGATTGAATGAAGAACTATCAGTAGCTAACTAATCTTAATAGCAACTAAGAAAATGTAGCTGATACTAATCGAGTTAACAAACCACAAAATCCATCTAGTGAATTTGTACCACCTCTGAAATTTTTCACTCTTATCTATCTTTAAATTAATTGTGCTTAGTAGTTACTAAATGTAATAAATTTTCAAAGATACCATCTAGTATTATAAATTTTGTGAAACCACTTGGTTTATTCCACCATTAGTATTTATTATCATTATATAGCTTCAAAATGTAGCAAACTTAGCAAGAAATTAAGCAACTAATTAACCCCACCATTTATATCACACCTTAACTTTTCCTACAAGCATAAAAGCCTTGTAAGCAACGGTCCTAATCAAATGGCTCCCTCCCCAAACACCCTCAAACTCCTTCACAACACTTTCAGATAACAAATCAACACCTTGTTCCAAAGCACTATTAATTGCTGACCATGACCTCAGCATTCTCAAATACCTCTCCAATGAAAGCTCCTTAGGCATGTCCAATTCCAATGGCTGCCCCTCAAACCCAAGCCCTACACTTTCAAAAGGAAATGGAAGGTCCTTGTAACCATCAAACAATGATTGCGCATTTTGGTTCCAATATGGAATAGTTGTCTCGTAAAACTTCTTCATTAAGGCATTAAACGTTGGACTGACTTCGAACCCTTTGTAGCCCCAGACTGCTATAACACCTCCTGGCTTTCGAAGAACTCGGTTAATGATCGTGTAGAATTTCGGAAGATCAAACCAGTGCACAGCTTGGGCTACTGTCACAAGATCAACTGAATTTTCTCCTCCAATCAGGGTCACTAGCTCATCATCGGATAAAGACAATGGCGTGTGCAGATAACGAACTCGCGGATGTGGCAAAGCATTTTGTAACTGATCTTCGCTCACATCAGTTGCGACAACTTGCTCATAATGCTCAGCTACCTGGAAACAACATAATATAGAAACTGCTATAACAATTTAATAAATAATTATATAATTTTGGTAACATCTTCGAATGTGTAAAATTGTATTTTATACTTCACATTCCCCTTATTGCCGTATAACACGAGAAATATTAGGCGTGTTATCTGAAAATGTTGAAAACTATTGATTTAATGATGAGTATTTAAAAAATAAAAAAAGTTATATATATTCGTTTGAAAATAATATATTTTTAAATAAATTAAAAAAAAATAACAAAGTAAAAATAGAGTTTAATTTGATCAGTTTGAAGAGTCAGAACAAAATATGATATTAATAAATGAATAAATTATATTTGAAAGAAAAAATAGAATTAAAGTCATGAGAACAGAGAGAAAATGATTTTTTCTTTTTTTTGGTTTTGTCTTATTATACCAACCATCAATTAAGAGACAAAGTAGATCAAAAATGTTTTTCTTTCAAAATTTTATCTCTCTTGTTGCATGTTTTATTAGTTCTTTTGGTTTGAAAACTTGAAAATTGTAAAGGTACACTTACCACACAAACTTCAATGCAACAGAAAACTAAAATGATAAAACAAATACATTACCGAACACAACCATTATATTAAAAAAGTTCAATTGTATTCAATGGTTTTAGAGATACAAGTGATGATTTTGTAGAGGCAGTATCTAGTGTTGACTTTCATAATTTTTTACTCAATATTAAGTTGTTCTTGTCAAACAATGGTAAGGATTCAGAGAACACGAAACAAAAACAAGAGAGAATGAGTTTTGCATCTATTCAATTCATTTAGAAGTGATTACATGAAAGGGAAAAACTTTCCCTTTTATACAGTTTTCGGACTACACGAAAAACTTCACTTTTGTGAAGATGAAATAAAGGTATCTGAACTTTGACAAAACGACATCACTTTTGTCAAAGTTCAGTTTGCTCCTGCTACTCAGCTTCTTTGCATTCTCATCCCTTTTTATCAACACTTCCCCTCAAACCAAACTGGCTTCTTTGCATTCTCATCCCTTTTTATCAACAGTTCTATTGTTATTTTATTTGTATTTTTTAAATCAAAATATATACTAAACTAAAAGTTGGTTTTGCCCTACTCAATCTACACTGCAGTCAATAGGTTCTCTCGTCTTCCTATTTAATTTACTTAAAGCCTAAGAAAATCAGTTAAAAATAATTCATATCTCCCAAAGTTTTTTGCCAAAATTGGTCATATATGATAGCCATATATGGAGAGAGTTGATCACAGACAGAAAGAAAGAGAATCGAGAGAGAGTACTAACACCGAAAGCAGCTTGACCATTTCCACTGCCAACGTCCCAAGCAAGAGAGTGAAGAGTAGTATGACTTGCAAGCATTGAATACCATTCACTTGGATAAGTTGGCCTTGCATCCGCGTAAAGTTTGGCTTGCTTGTCAAACAGTCCTGCCATTTTTGCCACTTTTGATTGTCTTCCCCTTGCCGATCCAGTTTGCTTTTATAGAGAATTGTCAACTATTTTTTATATATGTTTGAAAGCTATGTTGCATGACTAGCTCCAATCAAAGTTGAACTTGAGGACTTAATAAATTGATTGTGTTGAACAATGCCACCGACTCTTTTTAATAATAGATATAATATTCATATTGTTAATTTTCCTTGATCTTTCAGTAGTATAATATTTTATGTTTTGACTTAATTGGAGATAACCCTATGGACTTTCATAATCCCTAAATTTTGTATTGTCCAATTCAGTAATGATTGATTGCTATCTTTTCATCTATACTGATATTATTTTGGGACTTTCGTTCATTGTTTGATTGGTTTGTTATTATTATTTTTTTTAATCTTTGTTGATCTGTCAGTAGTCAGTACTATATAATTATATGTTTTGCCTTAATTGGAGATAACGACTAGGACTTTCAAAATCCAAAAATTTTGTATTTTCCAATTCGATGATAGTTGATTGCTGTGAAGATATTTTTAGAATCAACTAGAAGAAAAAAAAAAAAAAAGAACAAGAACGAAATTGAAAAGAAGAGAAATCTGCTAACTGCAATGACGAGTATGGTTGTTGGAATATTGTGACTCGTTTTCCTATTTGTTTTTATATAAAATTGTCTATCTTTAAGAAAACTCTTTAATAAATAATACAATTCTAAATAAGAATAGAATTATGAGAATCCAATTAGAAACTGAAAATCTCATATACTACCTATAAATATAAGGGTGGGAACCAATTCAAGGTTATGAAAGAATAAGAGAATGTGAGAACACATGGTATTTGATGTAAGGGTTTTTAAACACCATGGGGAGAGCGTCTAAGAAACTGGGATCATTTCCACTCTAGATAATGGGTTGAGCGTGGTTAGAAATTAGGATGTCTCTGCTCTATTTTATGTACCGAGTTTATGGTGTTATGTACTCTTGTATATCGTGTTCATAAAACTATAATGGATTTCTCTCATCCGTAGATGTAGGCAGGCTATGCCAAACCACATAAATATCGTGTCTCTTTGTGTGGTGTGATTTTATTCCTATGTTATTTATCTCGAATGCATGTTTCCTACTTTGTGATCTCCTAACAACGGTTTTTTTATAAAGTCGTTGACACAAAATGTTGCGTTTCTTACAAATTTGATTTCTGACACTTTAACCCAGACAAATTACAAGTTAGTCCTAACTACTTTTCAATATTACATTTTAACCAGATTGCTCCTAAGCTTATATCTTGATAGACCCCCTCAAGCTAAGTTGTTCAACAATGCAGCTTGTTGACTTCTTAATTATAAAGAAAGGCACCCCTTCTCTTTGGGAACGAGTATTCTTATTGTCCAAAATGTGCACTAAGTTTCCAAAAGACAAAATGGGCACAAGAACAAGGTTATTCTTCTTCGAGATGAGTTGAGGATATAGGAACGGGCGTTCCTTGATGTGGAACATTTGTTCCTCTTTGAATCTCCACTTTTGCAAAAATTGGATAGAATAGTGAACGACCAAATGAATGATGTCATTCCTACCTAGAACAGCTTGAAGGATATAGGGAATGGGAGTTCTTGATGTGGAACGGTCGTTCCTTTTTAAATCTCCACTTTTGCAAAAAAATTGGGCAGAACTATGAATGACCGAAGGAATGATGTCGTTCCTATCGGGAACGGCTTAGAAGATAGGGAAATGGGAGTTCCTTGGTGTTGAATGGGTGTCCCTTGCTGACTTCACTTAAATTCCAAACTGGACAATATAAGGGACAACCATGATAACAAGCTCATTCTTCATGAGGACGACTTCCTTTGGATTTGGAACGAGTGTCTTTCCTTTAGGAACCAGCGTTCCTTGCTGATTTTACCCAAATTCTATTGCTTCAGTTTCACAACTTCGAACAATTGAATCTTCTACTAACTTTAGTTCACACTTCAGCTACTCGACTAACTTCAATTTTCACAATACTTCCAAGACTATAACACCAAATTAAGAACTTCAGAAGATACTTTTCAACTAGAAAATACTTTCAAAACTATAACATCAAATCAAGAACTTCATAATACTAAAGTCAAACCCCCTCAAGCTAAGCTACTTTTCAACTACAGCTTGAAATGAACTAGATTATGCTGAAGAGGAGGCTTGTTTTGGAGAGTTACTAAGGGTACGTTTATGAATTAATGAAACAAATGAAGTAGCTAGTAAAGCTTATTTTGTGAAGATATCAACAATTTGTAAAGTAGAAGACATATACTAGACGTGCAGTGCGCTTCCTTGGAGGACTTATTCTCAAAGATAGTGTGTATCTATCTCAATATGTATGTTTTGTTTGAGCATGATAAACAGGATTGGATGCAAGAGAGCCTGCACGGATATTATCACACCAAACAATAGGAGAAATAGAAAAAGATATACCAAGTTCATGAAACAAACTCTGCAACCAAGCAACTTCAGTTGTTGTATTTGCTAGGGCCCTGTATTCAGCTTCAATTGAAGAAAAAGCAACTACCTTTGCTTTCTAGAACTCTAGTGAATAAGGTTGGGACCAAGAAACACACAATAGCCACTTGTGGACTTCTTGCCTTGAATGTAACTTGCCAATCAATATCTGCATAACATTCTAAGTTAATTAACTATGTTATTGCTCAAAACTGTAAACCATAATGTAGAGTACCAATGCAATTCAATGGGGGATTTCAAGAATTGACTGAGCTTATGCACTATAAATGAGATATCTAGCCTAGTTAGTGTAAGATATTAAAGAGCATCCATTGTGCTTCTATAAACTATAGGTTGCTAGAAAGCTAGGTTGTGTTTAGAATATAACTTTGTACCCAAGGCCATAGGTATGTTGCAACTGTGAACTTCTAACATATTTGTTTTTGTCAAGAGATCAATTGCATATTTTGTTTGACTGAGATGAATACTATTGTTGTCTCTATAGCCTTCCAATCCCAAAAAATAATGAAAAAACCATAAATCTTTCAAAGAGAACTAAGCATTGAGATGTTTAATCAGATTCTGGACTAACTTGCTATCAAGATTAGTCAACAGAACATCATCTACCTAGATCAACACATAAAGAACTTTGTCACTTGTGTTAAGAATAAACAAGCTGGAGTCTGATTTTGAGTTGATAAAACCCCATTAAACCAAACAAGCCTTCAGTTTGTCATACCAAGCTCAATGAGCTTGTTTAAGATCATACAAAGCTTTGTATAGTTTGCAAATATAGCTAGAATTTGTGGGATAAATAAAGCCTTTAAGCTGAGACATATATACTTCCTCTTGCAATTCACCATTTAGAAAAGCATTATTCACATCTATTTGGCTAATCACCCAATTATATGTAATAGCCAACGTGAGAATAACTTTGATGGTAGCAGTTTTAACTATAGGACTAAATGTTTTAAAGTAATCAAATTATGTATTTTGCTAAAACCTTTTGGCTACAAGTCTAGCTTTATACTTCTGCAATGTGCCATCAACACTATATTTCAGCTTAAAACCCCATTTATTATCTACTACAATCATGCCTAAAGTGTAAGGAACCAAGGTCTATGTATCATACTTAATCAAGGCATTTTATTCAGCCTACATAGCTTTTAACTATTCTGAATGATTTAAAGCTTCAGTGGTAGTAGCAGGTTCTGAAGTGCTTTGAAGGTTAGAGATATAGGCTTAGCTAGAGCAAGGAAAATAGGTAGTTTTGGATCTAGTAAGCATTAGATGGTAGTTTTTGTTTGGTTAATTATGGGTGAGAAGTTGTTTGAGAGAATGGAGTAGGAATAGGTAATCTGATGTCAAGTGGAATTGAGGGATAGGTTGAAATACATGACAAATTAGGAGAGGAGATTGAAGCAATTGGTGATACTAAATTGGTAGATTTTTGTGAATTTGGAGCTATAGGAGAGGCAATTCTTGAATCAACCAAAGATGGATTTTCTACAATCAAGTCAAGACTCCAAATTGAATGTAAATAAGACCAGATGAGTTAGAAGTAACAGCAAAGTGAAAAAAATGTTTATTCTTGGTTCTGAATTCAACATTCTTAAAGAATTGAAAAGATGATTCATCAAACTTAACATTGGCTGCAATATATAGTTTTCCATCTACACTCAAACACTTACATCATTTATGATAAAGGTTGTACCCCATGAACATACATTTATCAGTATGGTAATGAAACTTATGTTGATTATAAGGTCTCAACTATGGATAACAGGCACAAGCAAATACTTTCAATGAACTGTAATCAGGTTTGGAGTTCAAAAATACCTGATATGGACAGTGAAAGTTAAGAACATAAGATGGTAACCTGTTTATCAAGACTCTTGTTGTTTGAAAGGTTGAGCTCCAATGTTGTAATGGCATGGAGACTTAAGCTAACAAAGTCGATCCTATTTCCACAACATGTCTATGCTTCCTCTCAACTCTTCCATTTTGCTAATGAGTATAAGGAAAATGGTGCCTGAAATGAATTCCTTGAGATGTTAAGGAAAAAGACTTATGTATTCACCTCCCCAATCTGCTTGTAGAGTTTTAATAGTTGTATTAAACTAGGTTTTTGCTAACTTATGAAACAGCTAAAACATTAATTGGGTTTTAGATTTGTTCTTGAGAGGAAAGAGCCACACAAATCTACTATAATCATCTAGAAAATGAACATAATATCTAAAGAGCAATGCTACAGTTACCCAAAAAAATGCACCGAATTCACGCACCAACATATATGGCACCATCTTCTTTTCTTAAAAAAAAAAAAAAAAATTCATAATTAATGGATGATTAAGATGGTGCCACATCTGTCGATGCATGAATTCGGTGTATTTTTTTTGGTAACTGTATCATTTTTCATATCTAAAACCTTTAACAGATGTAATAGGAGTTAGTCTCTAAAAATCTGAATGTATAAGGTCAAGAGGAGAGTTTGGAACTAGAAGGAAACCAAGAAGGCTAATGCATTTTGTCATA